GGAGTTTCATGCCCAAAAGGAGAGCTGCGTACGGGAGTTCCTGTCGTCGCCCGCGCCACCGTTGCAGGTGAATGGTTCATCTTCCTTGCTGAACTGCAGAGGACAGTAACCCGTCTGTAACCGAGGAAGGCGCTGGGGCACGACCGGGTCACGAACGCTGCACTTCGACAGCTGCCTAACAGAGCAATTGTAGAGCTAGGACGGCTCTACAATGGTATTCTGCGGACTTATCACTTCCCGGAGGACTGGAAAACCGGCAAGGTCATCGTTCTGCTGAAACCCGGGAAGAACAGGCGTAGAGCAGCTAGTTACAGGCCGATTACGCTGCTACCGCACATAGCCAAATTATTTAAAAAAATCATCTTAAGAAGAATCCGCCCGTGCATACAACACCGGGCGGAACAATATGGATTTTGGGGGGCCATTCCATAGCAACTCCAGAGTGCTACACCACCTAGTGGCCGAACACAATCGGGAACGCATATCGTTGGGCGTCTTCTTGGATATCGAGAAGGAATTCGACAGGATGTGGCACTCTGGATAATTCTACAAACTAGAGCTAGAGCTAGAGCAAACGAGTGTCCCTCCTACTATGCTGCGGCTAGTGGCATCATTCCTAGCTGACTGGAGCTTCTACGTCTGTGTCGAGGATGCCGAGTCCGCAGCAAAACCCATTAGAGCTGGCGTACCACAGGGCAGCTGTTTTTTGCCGATCCTGTACGCGGCCTATTCCAACGATATCCTTACTCTGGCGGGACACTTATGCGAATGGGAGGACGACGTAGAGCTGGCTCTATATACGGACAATAGCGCCTACTTTACATCGTCCAGAAGAGCCCATATCGCCACCGCCGAGATGCAGTGTCTGATGGACCTCCTGCCACCGTGGCTGGATGAGTGGAGGATGGCCGTGAATGTTGGAAAAACGGACGCTCTCCTCATCCGCCGCTACAGGAACTTCTCGCCACCCGTTGACGCTAAAAGTCCAGGAGATAGCGTATGAGAAGGCCGTGAATTACCTTGGATACCGGATAGACAGGATGCTGCGCATGACCGCGCACGTCGACATCGTCGTCTGCAATTGCATATGTGCTTGGGCGATGCTCCGTCCAGTCCTGGCATCCAAGCTCTCAATAACAACCAAGATTAAAATTTATAAGTTCTACGTAAGACCGAAGATAACTTACGCTACTCTGGCCTGGTACGCACTCCTAAGCGAACGGCAGTGGCAGCGACTGCAGGCCCAGCAGAACCTATCATTACGGACCATCGTCGGCGCAGGTCGCTACGTCCGGAATGACGTCATGGCGGCCAACTTGAAGATGGAGAGCATTAAGGAATTCGTGGCCCGGCTGATGTGCGGTATTGTCGACCGCGCTGACAACGGGCCACATGACCACCTCAACAACCTAGCACCTCTACATGATCGGCCCCCGAACGGGCGACCTTTACCAAGAGAACTCCTTTCTATAGAAATTAGAGAGTCGAGTAACAACCCACAAAGTCGCAGATAAACCAACTGAGACTATTTTGATACCAACTTGCATCAACCGGGGAATCGAACTCCCGACCGCTGCCTTATATGTACTTACAATGCCGATGCGGCTCCCACGACCGGTACATAGTTATGTACCGCGAGGAGATGCCGGGTAATGGGGTATGCCCCGAGGGCCGAGACCTGCGATGCAGTAATGCACTCGCAGATGACAAAGATAGTTGGAAATGCGTTCGGGACTAGCTACCAGTTTCCAGTTTTAAATCAAAAAAGAAAACAACAGGGAAAAGTCATAGAAAATAGGTGGTGAAATTTTCAATTTTGCATTTCCAAAGGGTCAGCTTCGAACCTAAAAGCCTACAGTCCACTGATGATTAAGCCTACAGTCCACTGATGATTGACGTCAAGACCGAGACCATTCCATAGGGACTCGTAATCTTAGTCGTCTAACCTTTCTTTTGAGAGAGTACAGACGGGCTTTGAGTGGTACACCTACTCAGCGGTCACGCCCACCTCGTTATTCCCGCACCCAACGACATGTGGTATTAGTATCTGTGAATAGAAGCTCACTAATTGGTTGATCTCTGCTGCAGGGCGGGTCATAAGGAGCCGCTGTTCCTTTTCACGCGTGTTTTGGTGATGTTCCCTTATTTGCCTATGTCGTAATTTACTGAAATTTTTTACTGGTTTCTGGTATTTTAACTGATTCGTTAACGAAAAATCTTGCGTACGTGGTATTAGGATTATTAAAAATTATTTTTTAAGTGTGTGTATTAAATTTGTAAAAGTTATTTAAGTATTTACATGTTACATTGTTAATTATTTATTAGATATTTTTAATAATATTTTTACGTCTGTAATTTTATATCTGAAAATCTTCACCGCTGCATTGGAAGACGTATTCAAGATACTGGACTGGAAAGGTATATATCAATCTATCAATATATATATCAATCAATATATAAAATATATTAATATATCAATCAATGGCAAATACATCACTCATCTTCGATTTGCTGGCGATATAGTGATGACAGAATTGCTGAGACATCTTAGAATTATGCTCAAGACCTCGATAGAGTCTCCCAATGGACAGGTCTTAAGATGAATATGGACAAGACAAAGGTCATGTGCGACATCCATTTCACACTAATGCTGGTAGTTGTTGAGAACAGTACACTCGAATTTGTTGACGAGAATGTTTACTAGGAACAAATTGTCCGACTAGGGTCAAATTTCGACTCAAAAGTTAAACGGTAGAGATTGCGTTTAGCTTAGTGTTTTTCTGTGTGATAGAATTCGTAATGAAGATATCCGCATTCGAACCAGGGTAACCGACATAACCCAATGGATCAGTATGCGAAGTGGTAATGGGCCGGCCATACAGCTAGAAAAACCGACAACCGTTGAAGAAAGGTTCTCGGGAGACAATCTCCTACCGGTAAGTGAAGTGCAGAAAACCTTCAATTACGGAGAATTTGACATAATTGTCGCGTTTGGAACTGCAGTATAACCTATTAAATAGAAAAATAATCATTAAAACCGGTTCACAATAGGCGAAGATATCGCGTACTATTTATACAAAAAAAAAAGAAAAGAAAATACAGTCGAATTGGGAACCTCCTCCCTTTTTGCAATCGGTTAAAAGAGAAATTGATTTCACATTACTTAAAAGCCTTTAATAAAAAAAGATTTAGACTATGATGCTAGGTACATACAACCAGCGTTTTTTCGTAAGGTTTTGCAAGCATGTTGCTTCCTTTAATATCGGACAGAAACAAACTCTTGATTGTTACCAAATGTGTCCGAGGCACGACCGTAACAGGTTCGGAGCTCGTAAATCTAGTTTCTCGATTGCCGTCTCGGGTTCCGTTCAAGGAACCGAAGGCAAAAGTAAAGCTGAGATGCGGCGTGGTAGTGTCTGCATTTTTTTGTTATAGCATCGCGCTAATTACTTTACTTGAGAATAAATTATTTAGTAGTACCTCGTGTTTCTTTTTCTAGACATTGTTAAATGTTTGATCTGACTAGAACATTTGGCCAGTCTTACTAAAGATTTTAAAAAAAAATTACCCTATTTATAAAACTTAGAACTCTACATCAAAGAATAATCTATCATTTTATATTGAAAAGTAATTTTCTATTTTACTAGCTGTTCCCCGCGACTTACCGCCGTAATTTCACCCGCGTGTAATTTAGGTTCTTAAATTTTTAGCGCGGATCCCTAATTCTTTTCCTAAAATAAAAGTAGCCTAATTTACTCCTTATAACATCAGCTTATAATATCAGCTATCTGCCAGTGAAAGTCCCGTCAAAATCGGTCCAGCCATTTTAAAGTTTAGCCAGACTGTGTGACTGTGTGTCTGTAGATAGACAAATAGACAAACAAAAGTTTTAAAAATTGTGTTTTTTGTTATAAGTACCGTATATACTTTCATATGCATGTAGTAAAAAGCTGTTATTTTGACATTACAAACAGACACTTCATTTTTATTTATTTCTTATTATAGATTATTTTCATTTTATATTGGTTGGTACTTACTATGTGCTAGGAACTAGGATCAATTCCTTGAAACGAAAAATAAAATCGTCATTTAATACACCAAGCTCTACATTTTGGTATATACATATATATGTATAAAGATGTTGTTGCAAATTTATTTTGTATACGATTTCAACTAAAACTGTATCACTTTACATTTTATATAAGTTATCAAAACAATAAGCTAACTGAGTATTTCAATGTTCTCTATCTGTGTCTTAGTATGTAGAGTAGGGCAACACCTACAGTTTGTTTCACGGATCACGAAGGAAGACCATTTGCCGCAGCGCGGCTCTGCGGTCTTGGCGAAATTTGACATTCAGCTATCAAATTCCATAGTATTTGAGTTTATTTACATATTTTCCGAGGGACATTTTTCGTTTTGACTATACTTGAAAAATAGTAGGTACAATAAATTAATACAGTAGACTATAAATAGGATACGATAGGCAGCGTAGAACTATAGTGTTGCCAAAAATTAACTAATTGTTTTGGGTCGTTTGTAAAAAGATTTGAATAAGTTCCACGATCAAGATACGCAAAATGCTATAAGAAAATCAAGTTAGAAACTGCCAACATTCCAAATTAAATACGGATTATGAGTATGATATCACAACTGATGTCTTCTTTTACGGATAATGTCGTGAAACCTAATAGAACTGGCAGCTTGCAAAAACTTTTATAAGTTTAAAAAATTGACTTCTAGCAGCATGGCGTCGAACGAGTTGGAGAGATCGCGGCGCGCGCGCCAGCGACCGGCAGCCGACACGCCAGTCAGCCGCCGTTCCCCGCCGTGCGCGTGTGTCTCATTATAGAGGAGCGTACACCTGCCGCGACCGCGCCAAATCATTGACCGTTATCGTCCTAAATGACAGCCTAATGGACGTACGGAAAGGTAGTCTCTGCATGTTGGTGTCGTTAGTGTAAACTCTCAGTGGAGTGCAGTGTTGTGTTCATGTTGAAATGGAGGAGGTTCGCATATCGGATTGGCCCGAACCACCGGGCTCGCATGCATGGCTGCCCGCTTATGGTTTCCAGCATGAATTATTGGATAAGGATGACTATTTTGGCTCCAATGGTGAGTGTCAATGGTCAGAGTTCGATACACTCTAGCTATGATACCATTGAAGCGAAGTATTTAGGAAAGCACGCTTAATTTCTGTGTGTGTGAGACTAAATGAAATGTGACAACGTTTCACTTTGTTTGTAAAAACGTAACTGACTGCTTATTTCGATGACTTTACTTTTAATCTTTTTCCGTCCTAACACGTTTTCTTGAATTTGCTTTGTTATATTAGGGTAAATGTACATGTTTTATTTTGCAATTCATCATTGTAGAGCGTCCAAACAAAAAGTCAAGATAAGAATCGTTTCGTTGTTCTGGAAACTGATTTTAAAATTTTAACAATAGTCTGCACTATAATTATAATTTCATTGAAAATATTCAATTTAATAAAAGGAGCAGAGCCTCTCTACCTACATACAATACCTCTATCATGACTCTATTAGAGACTTGATAGAGGTATTGGTTTCTATGTCTATGTCGCAATATAGATTATATCTTTAACTTAAGAAAAAATAAAAACTATACATAGAATAACATTAAATGTATCCGTATACACATGTAAAATCCCATTCTCGCAACCAGTTTACGTGATTTCTAAGTTTATTGCGCTTTAAATTCGTGTCCATGTAAAACTTTCTGATCGGAACAAGTTTTGCTTATATCAACAATTCCATATTATATAATTGTTATGCCGTTATCACGTTGCGAAATAGGGAGTGATTGTTTGGAGGAAATGCCCCAATCATTCATTTTAATAAAACACTTTTTTTACAAATTTTTTGCGAGAGAGAAAATTGCTGTGCCTTGTGAAAGTGTTCAATTATAAGCGGTTAGTCAGTTAGTCGATTTCAGATTAATTATTGACAAAGTGACTTGTTTTAAATTCTTTTGTCTAAGTAATTAAGTAAGTAAGTAAGTCTGAAATTCACAGTAAACATGACGCGCCATATTATTATTATTATTAGTTACAAATTCCGGCCGGGCACTAGTGTTTAATATTTAACACTTGTCTCTGACAGTGGCTTTCCGTATACTGTAAAAATATGTATGAGTTAAGTCAGCAAGAAAGGCATATCTTAGATAGTCATTGCATTTACTCAATTGCTGAGTTGATGCCTAAAACAGCGTAGTATAACCCGTTCGTTTGGTGGACTCACCTGGGCTATCCAATAAAATACAATAATTAATGCTAGCATAATACTAATAATACCAAATTTACTACATTTCCAGTTGAAAAGACCTTAGAGTAGATAGATGTATAGAATTGGGCTCTTTAAAATATTTTTATAACATTAGTTTAATAGACGAGTTAACAGTCCACCTGTTTGTAGTAGTAACTGCAGACTGTGCCAATTCGTCTGTCAAACTTGGAGTTAATGGAAAATCTCCCTTTCTATTGGAATGATCCATGGTATTATTTTATAAACGTTTACGTTGTATAATCACGCTGCAGATATTTTATGGTTGTAGCAGCACCACGCTATAGGATAAGACCACGCTCTTACAGAATACCAGCGTAAAATGCTAATGTGTTTCGTATGGTGAGTATCCGAGAACCGGAGACCCTTTCTACTGGAAACGAGGCATTCCATCTTAGTCCTCACGGCTGACAAAGGATCTGCTTTTTGATTCGTCATCGAGAATAGATGTAGATGTTTATGGGCTACAGCAACCACTTACCATCAGGTGGACTGTGTGCCCGTTTGTCTACTACTTAACATTTTATATCGATGTTAGCTAATCTGAGGTCAATTACCTTCCAAAGTGCAAAGCATGCGTCTGACGTAGATGAAAATGATGGTATAAGCTTTTGAAGGTACTTGGAGTGGCTTCTTGCATTATACTATTGAACAGTGAATGATTCACATAGTTTTATTATTGGCTAATAACTTCATCTCGTTGGTATCGTAAAACAAACAGAGGTAAACAGGAGATAAGAAGCAGCTTCCTGATCACAACTCAATATTAAAAATAAACTGTGGTTGCCTACCCCCCTTGAAAAATATGGCGGATATCCCCCTATGAGGCAATCTATGAGCGAGGCCTATGTTCAGCAGTGGAAGAATTCTAAAGATTAAGATAAATTCAAACTGATTAAAATTAAGAGCAATTTAAAACAAGAAATTAAGACGGAACTAAACGACCTTATTAATTACGTATTCCGATCACGCTCGCAATATGTTGTCTCATGTCACTATATAGGTACTTATACATACGGTTAATACAAATTTATTAATGTTATTCATAGATATTGTAACGTGAACATTACGTGAAGTATTGCAGAGATCGTGAAGAGCGTAGGGACTAGAAGTTTTACCTTGATCTCGGTTATCATACGGGGTAACCATAAATATATTATTTCTATAGTACACTTTTTAACTTAATAATGTAAATCACACGTAAACGTATAACATGAAAGCCAACATTCGTTCAAAATTAAATAGCAGAACTAATTAATTTTTATTATTTAGTATCAGGTTATTGCGCTCCATGGTACATAATAAATTATGTTTTATAAGGCTTATAAACCTTGTTGTCGCGGTGTAATCATCCTGTTTCGTTACGTGAGTGTCAAAATCAAAAATGCCAAAAAATATAAAAGAAAATTTTACAAGTTTATTTAACATAAGATAGGTATAAATTTAGAAAGAGATAGAAAGTTATGGTAACAACATTTTAACTTCGAAAAGTTTACTCATATATAAAATATACAGATACAAAGATAAAGTTAAGAATTTCCTTAAAAGGGATTTTATTAATTCTGCAACATAACTATTTAAACAGAAAATTTTAAAATACTTTTTAGGGTGATAAGTGGACGAGTTGGCAACCTTCGTTCGTTATAGCCGTAATTGTTACACGGCGTTCATGTTATTCAATTAAGGCACGACTCAAAACCTAAACAAATCAAGGAAATCAAAAAAGAACCGTGTGATAACTTACATAAATATTTAGAGTATAATATATTAATTTACTAACCACCTGAGGCTAGCCATCTGAGCCGTGGTAGCTCAGATGGTTAGCGCTCGCTTTATATTTAACACTATGAGCAATCCGGGTTCGAACCCCGCCAGCACCAATGAAATTGTTAATTGCAATTTTAAGTGCTCGGCAGTGAAGGAAAACATCGTGAAGAAACCTGCATGTCTAAGAAATAAGATAAAAAAAATATTTCGAAGATATGTGAAGTTCACCAACTTGCATTGGGACAGTGCAGCGGACATTTCTTTGCCCTAAAAGCCCTCTCAGAAATGAGAGGAGGCCTGTAGAGAGGTCTTGCAGTACTAATACGTCCCACTAGATTGTAACTTTATGTGAAGTTCGAGCATTAGTTATAGCGGTGGATCCTTCCCTTCCCTGCTCTAATATCCCCTAAGAAATATAAAAAAGTTCTGTGCCAAGCTGTAGGATATAAAATATATAAGCTACTAGTTTGTACTTTCTAAATTATGAAAACAAAATAATTTAGCCAAGATTTTGGATGCATTTTTAAGAACCTTTATATAGGAGGCTCATATGAGATAAAGCTTGCAGAAGAATATTACGGAAAATATATCCGAAAGTCCGAAACATACATCGAGACTAATAATGCCAACCTTACCCAGACGTAACTTCCAGCTGCTTTCTAACTCTGTCCGAAGTTTGAAGGCACGTTTGGCTATCCTAATTTTGCACCAGCTGACCGTTCTTATCATGTTTACGTAACGCAAATATTTATCTCTACGAGCGTCAGTATGATTAGGGTTAAATTAGCTTTGCATCTATGCAGGGTCGTTTCTACATGCAATTAATTATATTATGCATAGTTATCATATTATAATGATTTCTTAGGCGAACACTCCACATTTAAATGAAACTAGTTTTTACTAATTTTATCGCTTACATTAACTTATTTTATATTCCCTTCGTTTCAAGCACTTTACAGCAACGTCGGGAATAAGTATAAAATAAGTTATTATACGCGATAAAAACTGTAAAAAATAGTTTTATTTATCATTTTATCATTAGAATTTTATACTCATCACAACGTAAATTACACAGACAAAAAATAAGTAACTTGGATCAAAAAAAATATTGTCACTTATTCGCATTTCTCGATTCGAAACATTAACTGTCTCGGTCATTGCGAAATACGTATTAAAATACGAAAAATGGACTTGAATGAAACTCTTGATATTTAGAAACGCAAGCATTCAAAAGCGGGCGTTGTAAATTCCGTCGCACGTTTGTATTCAGAGAAGCATGCAGTCAAACCAGTTCCTTGGCCCTAAAGGTCATTTCTTATCCGAAGGCGAATCGCATGCCTCATGGCTTGCAGCCGCTCGACGCCATGTGCTTTTAGAAAGGATACTGCTGACAAAAGATGTGTTCAAGGTTATTTTTCAAGTTGTACAAATCCGCAAGAATTAAAGTGTTAAAGTTTGCAGTTAATTTTTTATGTTAGAGAGACAAACGAACCTACAGGCCGATTAACACAGGGTTGATTGGTAGAGAATTCCAAAAGGTATTAAGTCCGATCTTTTTAATAACTCCTTAAACGTGTTTTCAATACAGGATAAATAAAAAACCACAAATGCGTTGTCACCGCTATACATATTTACTTTACCGTTATATTTTTATATATGAGCATATCTGCAGTAGAACCAGAGTGACCGCAATGGTCCAACATGGGGAAAAAAGGTTCTCGAGTGGCAGCCCCGTACCGGTAGGCGAAGTGTAGGGTGACCCCCCACTAGATGGAGTGACGACCTGGTAAGACATGCAGCAAGTCGATCTGTGGGTCAACTATATTTTAAAGACCTTTTGAAATACGTTATTCTACCGATCTTTCCTATACAATTCACCACTAATGTGAAATGTCAGCAAACACCGGATAAGAAAAGACATTCTGTAGATACTGTTTAATCTTTACTCATAAATCTTTAGAGCTCATAAATTTAAAATTAAAAAGGAATGTGGGAGTTTGAAGCGACTATTTTTATAGTAAAGTTTTTTTCTACTTTGAGCAAGAT